TGTGCAACTAATATTTGAGTTGAGTGACCAAAGTGTAACTTGGGGTATAGTTGAGGGACCATTGCTGCGAATAACCCTATAATTAGCATAGATCATATTGAAGTTTTTTTTCTCTTTAATTTCTTTTATTGCAAATATAAGAAACTCGATGATGGCGTTCACTTTATGAATCATGTACCTAACATGATATAGTCAAGAGTTATTGTTATTATTATTTTTTAATATGTACGCACGTTTCCTACAATGCTTGTTTTATTTTTATTTTTCTTTTTCTTTTTGTCCTTTTCATACTAATGGAAATTATGTGGCAATTACAATATAAATAAAAAAAGATATGATGGCCTATTAGTTTATTTGTATGCGTTTATGATTAATCAACAAAATTGATTGCATGTTATTATTTGTAGTTGACAGGTATAAATTATAAATAAATGTATTGATGTTTTTTTATCCTTTATGCATATTTTATTTAATTGGCTTGTTTACCAATTTTAAGCATGTTTTTAATTCATTACAATATGTTAAGATGAGTTTGTATTATACAAAAGATAAGGGCCCGAAGTTCCTCGATCCTCATTATATAACTAGATTAGGATCTCGAGTCCTTTTGATTGAATCAGAACCTAAAGTTCTTTGATTCCAAATAATTAAGGGCGTGAAGTTCCGCGAATTTAAAGAGCACATAAGGACATGAAACTCCTTGATTTTGTATTAATCAAAATTAGAATTCTATGAGGCCTACATATGTCAAGAACCTGAACCAGAAGTTTCGAGTGCATATACATCGATTTGAGTATGAAGTTCAAAGCACAACTATTAATTCAATTTATTTAGATCTACGTATTGAAACCTGAAGTTTCGAATATATGTTGATATGAACCTAAAGTTCATAGTTTTTCATGGATCCTAAATATGAACCTGAAATTCATTACTTATTTGTGCCTATATGAACCTGAATTGGTTGGAAATCCAATTCTTAAACTTGTAGTTTTATCTACATATTGACTCCACATTAATATTGGATTATTTTGGAATTTCATAGTCTTTAATTTATTTATTTTATTCCTCGTTTAAACCACTTTACTCATTTTATTTATGTTGGGTTATTAGTTAATTTTGTTTTACAATGGTAATGTCTTGTATTACCGCCCCAATATTGACAGTCAGATGCGTCTATTGGAGAAACTTCCTACTTTCTTTTGTGGGTAGGAAGTTTATGATGTCATGAACTAGAAGTTCACGAGGCCCCAATATTACACAATTATTACAGTAGTTGAACAATATGATGTCATGAACCAGAAGTTCATGAGGCCCCAATATTACACAATTATTACAGTAGTTGAACATTATGATGTCATGAACCAGAAGTTCATTGATCGGATAACTTTTATGTTGTGGCATGACTATCTTGGCAATCCATGTAACTTTTATGTTGTGGCATGACTATCTTTTTTTTTTTTTTTTTTTTTGAGAGGAAGTGGTAAATGTTCATTAAAATTGGGTAAGGTTACAGACTCGAGCGACCAAACGTGGCCTCATTGAAACCTTGCCCAGGAAAACCCAGTG